GCACCCAATAGCGAGGAAAAAAAAAAAAACTCTCAAAAAAAAAAATAGTCAGTTGTCACAGTAACAATAAAGGTAAACATAGCTATTGATTATCTGGAGACAAACCCCCAGATGTTTCACCCTACTGGGAATAAGAAAAGCCTCCCCTTCTTGAGTATACGTGTTGCTCCAGGTGTCGTGTTAATAAGCAAGTTATGCCTCATTTCTATGTCATTTTATCCTTCAACATGGGATGTTATTTATCACCATTTTTCCAACAGCAGCAACTAGGACTTCAGAGGTGACTTGGTCGAGGGCTCCATTAAGTACCAGTATGATGCCCCATGTCTTCTCCAAGCTCTAAACTACCACTATCAACACAAAGTTTTTTCTGAGTAGATGAAAACCCATCAATAATCAGTAAAATATGACATCAGTAAGCAGACTTTACCTTTGATTTGATTGATGCACTATTGCAAACATACTCTTTCGTTTTTATTAGCTATAATAGGTTTGTAGAGTTAGATTTTTCACATTATGCTTGTTCCAGCAGTTCCTAGAAATGTTGACCTGGAACACACCTTTGCCCTTTTGCCTGTTTTATAAACATGCTGACCTATTTCTGCATTTGATCTTGTCTTTGCAAATCCCTTGCAACTTCAGAATGAGCCTTTCCCTGTTCTGCTTGTTGAACCCGTTATTCTCCTTTTTCTCTTATTGCAAGTCACCTCAGTGCTTGGGTCTCTGCCTTACAAAAACAAAATCAAAATCACATTTATTTCACCAATAATGTGAATAATCTAGACTTTTTTTTAACTCTCTTTGGTTAATAATCCAAATGGGCCAACAAAAACGTCTAGCAGTTAGGTTGTTTACTAACACATGTCTCCTATTTAGGAAGAATTGCAGTCTCTGTCTTAGGCATGTGGATTTTAAATACTACATTTTTAACAACCAGAGTAGCTTCATAAGAGTAGGAAAATTAAACAGGTTTGCCTTTATGTAACTGTCGACTGGGCCTTTTAACAAGTGTTAGAATCACAGGGAACCTGTTTCTAAAGATAATGAGTAGGTATGTATGTGTTCATGGTTTTGTCAGTTAGACTCAGATTTCAACTGTGAGACTATTCCGTGTGAATGGAATCAAGTGTTTTAGTGTGTTGAAAGAAAATTAGAAAATACACACTCAAATCTGTCCAAATAAGTGTAAAGAATAAATAAATAATATGCTTGATAGTTACAAAAATCAATTTGCTTTTATTTGATTTCCAAGTTGAGGAGAAACATGCTTAACCTGAGTCCCTGCCCTTGGCCTGTCCCCTAGGTGGCGCTGCAGGAGGCGGCTACTCCCAGGTCATTCCTATGGAAGAGGTAAAGTGTTTCAGGATTGGCTGAAGCAGATCCTGTATTATAGCTTTCTCTCTATAGGTTAACCTTTTTCTTACAGCTCTTAGTGGCAAATGACTTGTTTCTCAGCAGAAGCAACACATAAGGGGAAAACATCTTAATTTATAGACTTGTTACATAGCTAAGTTTTGAAGTCTGGCTCTCAGTGGGAATAATCATTTTAAACAAGTGATCAAATGAAGTGTGACCTTGGGAAGCACCAACACACGGTGAATTCAGAATACTGACTACAGAAATGGGAACAGCATATGGACATTGAGTTGGTGCTGAGACTTCTCGCTTACTGTTTAAAGGATGCAAGTGTGTCCTCAGTCATCCAGTGTCGTCGTTTGCTTCCAGCAGTATGGCATTTGTGGTCTCTAGACTTGTTATTTAGGGAAAACTGCTAGTTCTGTGTTTGGGAGGAGTTCCTTTTGAGGATAGATAGTCATTTATGTTTTCAAGAACTCCCTACATGGGGTGTTTGTTCCCTAGCTAGGTTGCCATTGTATTCCGTTGGCTTTAGGGATTGACTGGGTTGCAATAGAATGAAGGTTGGACAGACCCAGAGCCGCTGGGAGACTGATGTGGCATCTGTTCTTTTGTAGTTTAATCTCCACCTCACTGGTGACATCCACGCCATCACAGCAGCTAATAACCTCGTTGCCGCAGCCATCGATGCTCGAATGTTCCATGAACTGACCCAGACAGACAAGGTAGGATGCTGAGGCCCCACGAACCCCATGAGCACTTCTGAAAGGGCCGAGGTACCTGAATTAGAGTTCGTCTGTGGGGTGTCAGTGATGCACCTATCAAGGCAGCAGGGTTCCTCTCATCTCAAAGCCCTTTTCCTCTGTTTCTTTAAGGCCCTCTTTAATCGTTTGGTACCATCAGTAAATGGAGTGAGAAAGTTCTCTGATATCCAAATCCGAAGGCTACAGGTAAGCTTTTTCCTTTTTCATTTGTAGTATTATATGAAATCTGGTAATAGATAAGGAGGTGAAAATCTCCTTAGAATAGCCTGTGGTTCATGTTATATCAATAATCGGAGTCTTAAGGTTATGATATACACAGTAGGGATTGTTGATAGAGGTGTTCTTTCTCCTTATCTATAAATTTTAATTGATTAGTCCTGGAATAAATAGAACAGTGCCAACCTGCTCTCGGCTAAAGAGAAAACTGACACCCCCTCTATAACATGGATATACATGAGGATGCCATTGTGGCGGTACAACATCTTCTCAAGTTTGCGTCACTAGGACCTTCAGCAAATTCTTTGTGTGTAGAGTCTTCAAAAAGTTCATGGAAAATGCACATTATGAAGGCATTCTACATGGGTTGAAATGTTTTACACCGAAAGAAATGCATCCATTCATTCCATTTTTCTGTAAATTTTCATGAAGTTCTCTTGTATGACTTGGCTGTCTGTTTCCTTATCTGTAAAATGGGGGTAATAATACTTGCCTTGACCAGCCCACATAAAGGACTGGGTTAAACAACTAAATGGGTAATTACTTCTATATTTTATTTGGATTTCTATAGCAAATGGATAATCATTAAAGAAACACTATACTACATCACATGACCCAGAAATCCCACCATTTGTATTTATCTCAGAGAAGTGAAAACTTGTTTTTATACAAAAATCTGTCTATGGATGTTTATAGGTGCTCTACTCAAGAATCTCTGGGCCAGCAGGTGGCATGGTGGTTAAGACATTGGACTCTCACATGGCTGGCCGTGGTTTAGGGCTCAGACTTGGAATTTATGCCAGGTGCATGCACATGTGTGCCTAAAACCCCACGAGGAGAATTAAGAAGGGATTGTGATATAGTCATCCCCTTGGAGGGTGATTTCTCATTTTCCCTCTCACTATCTCTCTGTCTCTCTCTGGCGAGTGCACGCACCCTATGACAAAAGCCTAAAAAGAATCTCTAAGGACTGGTGATAATCTTAATGTCATCTAGTGGATGAATGGATAAAGAAACTAGTACATCCATACAATAAAAAAAAAAAAAGAGTTATTGGCCCAGAAGCCATGGGCCTGGGTTTAGATCCCAGAGCAGCCTTGACAGAGTGTGATGGTGTGTGCCAGATTTATTATTTATGTACAGTTTGTTCTCCTTGTCTTATAATTCTGCCACTATTTATATGTATGCATTTTTTTCTGGACCATTGAGAACTACTAACTTTTAAGTGGTTTGATATTCCTTTATTTATTTATTTATTTTTGCTTGTTTGTTTTTTGCATCCTGCAAAAGTCAACTATTACCCTATTTTGCAACAGAGTTGTCTTCTGGGAGGCACCAGAGGCAGGAAGGAGCAGGCTTCTAAGTTTACCTTTGCTATGGGCCTTTGTCAGATGTGGGGAGAGGGTAGATTGAAAAAAAAATGATCTTTTTAAATCAAGAGACGTGGCCAAGGCTACAGTGTCCTCTGTCGGACAGTGCTGTCAGTCTGCCCCGCAGTGCTCAATCAGGAGGGGACTGTCAACAACAGATTCCCAGCAGAGCGGCTGAGGGTTTGGCTGGCTCCTGTACACAGTCATATTCTAGGCACGTGGGGCTATTTGACAAGCCAGTGAGCAGCCACCTCTGTAAACACATCTGAAGTTTCAAAGTGGGACTTGCTGGGGGCCCCCAAGAATTATCTAGCATTAGAAGTAAGGGAGAACATATAAGCATTTCCATTTTAGGATATGGCTTTGTACGTACTATAAATAAATAAAATTTCCAGATTTGTGAGAAAGAAAATACAAACTTTTTGTGCCTTTCGACAGTAAGAAGTCAACAAAAGTATAGTGCTCACGTAAAAAAGCATGTAAAAGTGATTTATATTTGTTTTTACTATTTCTGCTCTCCCTAAAATTACATTAGAACTGGACTTCTTGATTGTCTGAAAAAGCTTTTGCAAAGTGCTTTTACTTCCAATGTATTTGAGTCTATTTTAGAGTTAGGAAGTGTGTGTGTGTCTTATCATATTTTTTGGTCACTGTACTTATTTGGGACTAGTTTATAGAAACCCAAACTAATGGTGCTCCATATTAACAGGCTTGTTAGTAATACCTTTGTGTATTTATGTGAGTAGGAAATAACCCTGAAGTTTTGCAAATGGGATCAGTTGTTCCTTTTGAAGTTAAGATGGTTTGCGTTTCCTAGAGGAGACTCTATCTCAAGATAGGGGTTAGAATATTTTTGAAAGGTCAGGCATGGTGGCGTATGCCTGTGATCCTGGCTACTCAGGAAAATCATGAATTTGAGGCCAGCCTGGGCAACACAGCAAGACACTCTCTCTAAAAAATAAAAAATAAAAAAAATTCCAGGAGTGTGTGTAAGCATGCACAAAATCCCAAGAGGAGACTGGAGGAGAAGAGATGGTAGTGTGGCCCTCCCCCTGGGGGGTATTTTTCTCATTTTTCCTTTCTCTGTCCCTCTGGTGAGCACATACTCCCTATAGCAAATTAAAAGATAAACAAAATAATATTTTTTGTAAATTTATTATGCTTCTATTTGTTTTATCTTGTTTTATGTTTTAATTTTTCTACCTCTTCAGAGACTAGGCATTCACAAGACTGACCCTACCACACTAACAGATGAAGAGATCAACAGATTTGCAAGATTGGATATTGATCCAGAAACCATAACTTGGCAAAGAGGTACCAGAGCAGTGTACATACCCCATTTGTTTTAGTTAAACTGCATACCTGCAAACCCTACACCCTCCAGAAGAGTTGTTAAAACATGAAGTTGGCATGGTGGTTAAGGCACTGGACTCACACTTGGCTGACTGTGGTTCAAGTCCTGGACCAGGCAGCTTGTTTTCTCACTTTCCCTCTCTGTCTCTGTCCCACACACAGTGTGAGTTTAAGACACCAGGTCTGGGACTCGAACCACAGTCGACTACATGGGAGGCCAGCAACATAGCCATTACGCCAGCTGCTGGGTCCTTCTTTCTTTTTTTTTTTTAAATTTCCAGAGGGCTCATGCATTGGCCAGAGACAGAGAAAGTGAGAAAACATCCTTCATGGGGAATGGTCACACTGCAATCCTTTCTGCTTCATGTCTTTCTCCTTTCAAGATTTTGGGCACCTACACACAAGCACTCAGCGTGTTTCTCAAGCCACCATGTCCAGAACTTGAACCTTGCAGGTGGCCAAGCAGGATCCATCCGTTTTAACCACCACACCATCAGCTGGCCTGCTAATGGCGTTTTTGAGATGACGCTCCTAATATGTAAAACCAGTGGCATTTCTCTTCCTTTGCTTTAATAGCTTCAGACAAATGATACGATATTTTATAAGGAATAAGCTAAAGATCTATTTTGAACATTTAGTATTTCATTTACTTTTCCTTTGATTCGTATCTAATTCATGCTTTGTAAAAAAGCAGAAACAAATAAGGAAAAAAATGAGTCATAATGATTGGCTGGCTATTTTATACAGAAAAACTAGTTATAAGCAACTTGAAATTTTGAAAAAATAAGAGTTTTCACTCCACTTCACTTTCTATTTTTGTTTTGAAAAATACAGATATACATACCATATCTTTTACCTATCAGATGACATGTAAATGCATGTGTGTTCAAGTGCTATCAGTATATGAGTCATTGCTTTTGGTGTTTAAATTATTACAGTCTTTATGGAAAATAATTTGCTACATTACCATGCGCCTTAAAAATGAGCTTAGAGGGACCAGCAGTTAGCGTAATGGCTATGTCACTGGACTCCCACGTAGTCGACCGCGGTTCGCGTCCCAGACCCGGTAGCTTAAAACTCACACCGGGCATGTGTGCATGCGTGCCCAAGATCCCGAGTGGAGAATGGAGGAGAAGGGATTGTGGCATGGCCATCCCCTCTGGGGGGTGATTTCTTGCTTTCTATCTCTCTGTCTGTCTCTGTCTGTCTGGCGAGCGCATGCGCCCTATAGCCAAAACCTCTCCAAAAAAAAAAAGAAAAAGAGAAAAAAAAAATCTGCTTAGAGTATGAACTTTTTTTTCCCCAAAAATTATTTTATTTAACGTTATTTATTTATTTTAATTTGACCAGAGAACAGGGAGAGAAAGGAGAGAAAAAGCCACCAGGCCCAGGACTCGAGCCATAGTTGGCCACATGGAAGTCTAGTGCCCTTAATCACCATGCCACTTGCTGGCCCCATGAACTGGTTTCTGGTTTTTAATATTCATTTTGTGATTCTTGTTATTGGTTGGCATTTCATATTGAAATGACACCTTCTGTTTCCCCTTTATGCTCATACCATTCTCAGTACTTCTCTGACTCCAGATGTGTCTGTTTTCCTCCACAACTGTTCAGTTCTGTTGGATTCACTAGAGGGTACCGACTGGGTGTCCCATGATTTAAGTCGGTTCTGACACTATCTGGAGCAGACCCCACAGGGTAGGGGCCCAGTCCCACAAGACTGCCTCCTTCAGACATGAGTTCCCGGTCCAAGGTGTCAGTGTACTGCTGACTAACTAAAAACTGGGGATCCCACAACCCCTTTGTTGGGTTTGATTATTCGCTACACTGATTCACAGAACTCAGATATTTTACTTCTGTTTATTGGTTTATTATAAAGAGTATAACTTGGGGCCAGCGATTGGCATGCTGGCTAAGGCTACTGGATCTAACGTGGCTGACTGTGCAGTTTCGGTCCCAGACCTGGGGCTTGAAAAACATGCTGGGTGCGTGTGTGTGCCTATGCAAAATCTCAAGAGGGGTATGTAGAAGGGATTGCAGCTTGGCCATCCTCCCTGGGGGATAATTCCTCATTTCCTTCTGTGTTTCTCTGGCAAGTGCACATGTCCCATAACAAAAACTAAAACTAAATAAATAAATGGTATACCTGAGGAACAGCCAGGGGGAACAGGTGTGTAGAGAGCAGGTGCCTCACCCTTCCCAACCAAGAAAGCTCATGAGCTCTTGTTTTCAATTTTTTTAAATTTCTTGAATTATTTAATTCCATTTGTTCCTCTTCAAGGTTCTTAATTTGACCAGAGACAGACAGACAGAGAGAAAGAGAAGGCGAGAAAGCAAGCCACCGGGTTTGTGACTTGAACTGCAGTCAGCCATGTGGGAATCCAGCACTTTGAACCACCATGCCATCTGCTGGCCCCGATTTGTTTTGTTTTTTGAAGACAATCTTGCTATGTCATGATCCTCAGCCTCTCTGAATAGCTAGGATTATGGATGCAGGCCATCTCCTGGCTTTAAAGAGTTTTTAGAGATCCTCATCCCCTAATCTCTTTCCCAGGGCTCAGTGGATGGGCTGATAGTTCTAACCTTACAATTCCTTGGTCATTCAGGTGCCCAGGCCCCTCCAGAGGCTGAATAGGAGACCTACCCTGAGTCACCATATTACCATAAACTCAGGTGTGATCAAAAGGGGTTTGTTTTGAATAACAAGACATTCCTACTAGCACGCTTAACATTCCAAGGGTTCTAGGAGCCCAGGACAAAGATCACATTCATTTCCTATGAAAAACCAAAATTGGGGACCAGCAGTTAGCATAAAGGCTATGTCGCTAGACTCCCATGTAGTCAACCACGGTTCAAGTCCCAGACCCGGTGGCTTAAACTCAACACCGGGCACATGTGCATGCATGCCCAAGATCCCAAGAGGAGAATGGAGGAGAGGGGATTGTGGCGTGGCCATCCCCCTTGGGGGGTGATTTCTCGCTTTCTATCTCTCTGTCTCTCGATCTTTCTGGCAAGCGCATGCACCCTATAGCAAAAACCTCTCAAAAAAAAAAAATCAAAATTGGAGACATTGCCATGTTTTCCAAGGTATATCATTGGAGAGATGTGGTGTCATCAAAGTAGAAGTTATTGTAAGTGTGCTAAAGGAAAAACCAAACCTTTTACCCAGCGAGTTCTAAAGGGCATTTGCATTTGCCCTGAGTTCATGACTCTTGTATTTCTCAAATAAGGTCATGGTGTAAGGTCACTGTGTTATCCCACAGAACAACACAAATCCTGGGCCTTTTTTTTTTTGGAGAGGTTTTTGCTATAGGGCACGTGCGCTCACCAGATAGACAGAGACATAGAAAGCGAGAAATCACCCCCCAGAGGGGATGGTCACGCTGCAATCCCTTCTCCTCCATTCTCCTCTCGGGATCTTGGGCACGCACGCACATGCGCCCGGCATGAGTTTTAAGCCACCAGGTCTGGGACGCAAACCGCAGTCGACTACGTGGGAGTCCAGCGACATAGCCATTACGCTAACTGCTGGTTCCCTACAAATCCTGGGCCTTTTGAAAACTGCCGACCGGGACCAGCAGTTAGTGTAATGGCTATGTCGTTGGACTCCCATGTACTCGACTGCGGTTTGCATCCCGGACCCGGTAACTTAAAACTCAAGCCGGACGCATGTGCGTGCGTGCCCAAGATCCCGAGAGGAGAATGGAGGAGAAGGGATTGCGGCTTGGCCATCACCTCTGGGGGGGGATTTCTCGCTTTCTGTCTGTCTGTCTGTCTGGTGAGCACACGTGCCCTATAGCAAAAACCTTTCCAAAAAAAGAAAAAGAAAACTGCGGACTGCTCTGTTTGTCTTATAGTATGTGCTTTGAAGCAAATTCCAAATTTCTAGTTTCTTGTCTGAATTCTCCAGATAAAACCAAGCCACGGTACATTTCTTTGCTTTAAAAATAATTCCTGTACAGTATGGTATGTAAGCATCATTTAACTTGAAAGCATATTTTAGCTTTGCTATCATTTTTGAAACCGAATATTAACAGGCAGTCATTAAGTTCGACTTATTGCTTTAAAATACTCCTCCCTTTAACACAACGGTCCTTTCCCTTTCTGTGCAGTGCTGGACACCAATGATAGATTCCTGAGGAAGATCACAATTGGACAGGCTCCGACAGAGAAAGGGTACACGCGGACGGTAAGCGTTCATCCTTTCCAAGTAAATTAGCTCATGTGAACTAGATCCCGCAGCTTCTATCCTCCTCCAGCCTCTTCCCTACGATTGATACTGCCAGGTGTTGTTCTGCCTTCTCTCTTTTAAAATGGAAGTGAGTAGGTGTGTGGTATTGAGCACTCCTGACAGCTTTTGCAATAAATCCCATGTGTCACCTGTGTGTTTTTCCCCCAGCACTTTTTTCCTGGAGGTGGAGAGCCCCAAGTGAATATCCTTGCATGTAAATTGATTAAATTGCTTCTTTTTTTGTGTGGCCATTTTGCAGTACGTCTCTTCAGTGTAAGTAAGAGCTTCTGTGTTGTTCCCTTGTGTATTAGGAAACCCGTACTCGTGAGATGACAGGCTACCCTCGCAGACGTAAAATAGCAGCTCATTCTTTCTGCTAAAACATTTATTTTTTTAAATTGGCCACGTAAGTAAGGTCTTGGAATAATTAACGACAATTTTTTTGCTATTGGAGTATTATTTCATCCCTTGTGTAATATTGTGTTATCTCATCCTTTTAAAATATTTGTTTAAGCCTCAGATGCAGAAAAGGATTACCTTTGCAGTTCATGTTTCTGGTTGATGACAGTTTTTGCTGTTGTCTGTTTCCCCTGCCCACAGGCCCAGTTTGATATCTCTGTGGCCAGTGAAATCATGGCTGTCCTGGCTCTCACCAGTTCTCTAGAAGACATGAGAGAGAGACTGGGTAAAATGGTGGTGGCTTCCAGCAAGAAGGGGGAGCCCATCACTGCTGAAGATCTGGTGAGTTTCTGCCAGGCTTGGTGACACGTGTGTATCTGTTATTCTAGAATCCCTCCGTGGTTACTAGGAACAGAAATTACACTCTATTTGTGATGTTGCAGTTTAGTCATTCAGTCTCATCCTGCTAATTATAAGATAATTATGGGATGTGTAAAAAGTACTTAGATGGTATGCTCTAGTAACAGACCCCAGTTCTCCTCCTAGAAGTATCACCTTCATCCTACGAGTGTCTCCAATGGCAGTTGTGTGAGTACAGTTTGCAGAGAAGCTTAGGAGACTGAGGTTCTGAGTGACTGAGCTTGGAGTCACGCCTTAGACCCTCCCCAGGGTCCTGTGCAGAGTTTTCTTGTCAGAGGCAGTTGGTCACCACATGCATATTGATAACTACCGTGAACAACTCATTAGCCAGTTCCTCTGATGGTCTTAGGCTAGCCTTCCACTTCAGAATTATTTCTCAACTGTCTGCCTGGAAATGTGAGGATTGACATGAGAATTCTTACAGATTAATTTTTTAAGAGACTGCTTGTGTTGGGCCAGCAGATGGCATGGCAGTTCAGGCACCAAGTCCGACATGGCCAACTCTGTGACTTCGAGTCCTGGACCTGGGGGCCTGAAGTTCATACTGGACATGTGTGTGTGCATTCCCAAAATCTTGAGAGGAGAATGGAGGAGAAGGAATTGCAGCATGGCCATCCTCCTGGGAATGATTTCTTACTTCCTTTCTTTCCAGCAAGTGCATAGGCCCTATGGCCAGGGGGGGAGAAAAAGAAAAAGAAAAAAAAGCCTGCTTATATTTGTATAGCAAGTGAATTCAGGAAGTAGGAAATGTTACCTTTCTGTTTTCACAGTTAATATGCTCATATGTGTTTCAATTTTTTCATTTTTTAAGAGTTGTGCACAGGGCATGTGAACTCACTGGAAAGAGCCAGAGAGACAGAGAGAGAGGGAAAGTGAGAAGTTATTCCCTGGGGGGTGGGGGGATGACCGGACTACAGTCCCTTCTCTTTCATTCTCCTCTTGGGATTTTGGGCACGTATGCACAGCCTCCCACCCCACCCCAGTTATTGGATCTGGGACTCAAACTGCAAAGTCTGCCATGTGGGATCTAGCACCTTAACCACCATGCCATCCGCTGGCCCTGTGTTTTAAATTTTAACACCCAAACTTTAAACTTAGCGACTCATCAAAATTAAACATAAATGGGAGCCACTGCTTTACCTTACATTGTTACCAGTTTGTTCAGCTATTGTTGGGTGGATTAAAACGGAGATAGAATATTTAAGAGTTGGTATTGAATTTCTAGGTAATGTTTTAGTATCAGTTTTGGGAAACACACGCTGAATTTGGTTGTACCCATTTCTAGCTAGATATCAAAGTTACCAATAACCTAGTACTTTAAGAACTTGCATTTCCATGGTTTAAAATGGATTCTCCATATCAGCTAGCAAAAGACCTTGGATTGAGGTTACACGTTTTTCCAGAAATTGTGAGTGACATTTTTATTCCATCCGTTCTCCCTGCTTAAAGTAACTCACAGTGGGACCAGCAGTTGGCATAATGGCTATGTCACTGGACTCCCAGGTAGTCAACCATGGTTCAAGTCCTGGATGCAGTGGCTTAAACTCATGCCAGGCACGTGTGCATGCCCAAGATCCCGAGAGAAAAATGGAGGAGAAGGGATTGCGGCATGGTCATTTCCCCTGGGGGGTGATTCCTCGCTTTCTGTCTCTCTGCTCTTCTCTGCCTTTCTGGCGAGTGCATGTGCCCTATAGCAAAAACCTCTCAAAAAAAAAAAAAGTAACTTATAGTATATCCGGGGGAAAAAAAGATAGATGGTCCAGTGCAAGCAAGAGCACGAACTGGTCTAAGATGATTAAACCTAGAATATTGAATGTTGGTTTCAGAGGCTGTTTTTTTGCTAGAAGTTGACATTTCGTACATTTGTTTCGTAGGGAGTGAGTGGGGCGCTGACGGTGCTTATGAAGGATGCGATCAAGCCCAATCTCATGCAGACATTGGAGGTGAGCAGGAGCCTGCGCTCCTGAATGGGTTTCTGACAGAGCAGAGTGGCTCTAAAGCACACTTTCCTTGGACATCAGCTACCTGACCGTCCCTTTCTTCCTGTTCCTTTTCTCACAGTTGTGATGGGGACATAACTGAAATACAGGAGAGGTGGCTTTGCTTGCTCCCTCTGGGAAGTATTTTTTTTTTTTTTGAATCTGACTAAAGTTCATACTTGATTGTATGATCCTGTTTTGAAGGAGGATTGACAGCTTTGCTTATCATGTCCTGGTTTCCACAGGGCACTCCAGTGTTTGTTCACGCTGGACCTTTTGCCAACATTGCACATGGAAATTCCTCTATCATTGCAGACCGGATTGCACTCAAACTTGTCGGTCCTGAAGGCTTTGTAGGTGAGTACTGTTGCAAGATGAGTGAATAGACTATTTACTTTACCATCAGGGACCTGGGGCAGCATATTTACAGTTGCTTTTTTCCTTACTTACAGTGACTGAAGCAGGATTTGGAGCAGACATTGGAATGGAGAAGTTTTTTAACATCAAATGCCGATATTCTGGTCTCCGCCCTCACGTGGTGGTGCTTGTTGCCACTGTCAGGGCTCTTAAAATGCACGGGGGTGGCCCCACGGTAAGGATCCAAGGTTGACAGAGTCCGATGATCCAGAATGTTCCAAAGGCTAAAAGGAAGTTGTACCTGTTTCTTCATGGAGCTGTGCTTCTCCTCGGGATTAACAGGGTGCTAAAAGCAAAGAATGCGCCAGCCACTTGTCGTGCACAGACACTGTCAGCCCTCTGCATTTTACGAGGGCCAAGATTCGCTTCCCTGCGTGCATTTCTGAGGAAAGCATTCAGGGACGTGTGCTTGTCCATCCCCACAAAAAACTCCTTTATGTCCAGATCGTTCCCTTTAAGTCTGAATCCCACGTTCTCTTCAGATAGTGATGCTGGCAGCCAGCCAACCGCACCATTTAGCTGAGGCACAGGTCAGCTCCCTCTTGAGTCGTTTGTGCTGGCAGGGCCACTGACAGTCTGGAGTGGGAGGGGGAGAAAAGCCAAGGGCAGGAGGCACGTGACAGGTCTGCTCAGGATCGCTCCAGGTACGAGAGAGAAACAAGTGGGGAGCAGCTTGTCTTCAACTTTACCCCAGACTTGCTATTTTCTTGAATTCCTACTGCTTAGAAATTATACTTTTTATCCTAGTATTTTAACAGTACATCTTTAGCACCTGCAGATAAAGACACGGTGCTAGTTTCCAGCAAACTCTGACGTATTAAATTCCAGTTCTCCAGGAGCTTGTCAATGTAGCTCAGGAAATAAGACTTCCCTCACCTAAAGAAAAAAAAAAAAATCAGCGTTTCTTAGGGTAGCGGTCAGAGTTGTCCTAATATAGTAGTTTTCAAGAGTTCTAGTCTCGGAAACCAGCAGTTAGCGTAATGGCTATGTCGCTGGACTCCCACATAGTCGACCGCGGTTCCGGTCCCGGACCCCG